ACCACGGCGAGGAGGTGTGAAAGGTCAATCCTGACTAAAGGTGCAACCTGGACGAGTTGGCAACCAACTAAGAGGTCGTCGGCACTCGTTAAACCATAGCTGCCATCATACCACCAGAGATCATACCTTGATTGATATAGCATTCCATGAGAAAAAAATTGGATACGCGCTCGAAGTGGCATACCTTATCAGAATGATAATCGAACAGCGATCTGCTGAGGGGCGGAGCACAGGCGGAGGCGGAGCTCAGAAAGGATTGGCAGCCCCAGGGCGCTGCAACGAGCGCACCTTTAGTCACAAAAAGGCCACATCTCGATTCCTTTGGGCTCTAGCTACTGCTTGAAGTGCTGCTCGTTCTTCCATGCTGCACAGAAATTTTATCGTAATTTCTCGCTTTAAGTTTTTTTTCATATTTTTTCAAATATAACTACGAAGTGGAACGAATGCTATACGATTTCTAAGCGATTTAAAGGGCAAAATATGTATCTTCTGTGCATAAAATAATACGTTGATCTCTACATCTCAACATTCGCTTGGAATTTCGATGATAGGAACATAGACGTGATGGTAAAGGTTTTTGTTCTCACACATTGCTTTGCTGTAGTGGTTAATAAAGCGTTCACTATTGTGATACCCGCTACCACACTGAGTGGAGTTTAGCTTGAGATATCTAGCCCCTTTTTCCCTCATTAGTTCGTGTTCAGCTCACTTGTTCCCAGTCTCCGTTCAAAAGCAACTCAAGACTGTTAGCATGTGCAGGGAAAGTGTCGTCAAGGATGTGCAACCACGGCAGCGGCGCTGCGACAGCGACGGAGAACCGTGGCAATTTTGGGATTTCGTGAGGCTCAGGCTTATGCTGGGCTCGCGCTGCTATTGATTTCGCGGTTCAAATTTCTTGTACATCAAGAACGATAAAAAGCCCATTGGAAATTAAGTTAGATATGTTCAGTGATGCACGAAAGAAGAAAAAACCAAAAAATAGGCTGGAAATTGGAGGAATAGTACAACTTCCTTGAACGCTGATTTGCGGCCAATGCGATTCTCATCAGTGCTGCCCTCTTCAAAGCTAACGCTCTCTCTCTCTGCTGAACGGCTAGAGACTCAGGTACGAGACGACGCGAGAGATTGGAGCACGGCGCGCAATAGCGCGCCAATTGGGCCGCGGGTAAGCCATGCTAGATCGGCGGGAGCATAACCTGCGGTGCGAATTGCGAGTCGGTGTGTCCGCCTAATTCTTCACTAAATAACTTATCCCCCTTTTCGCCTTGCCCTTTGTCCTTATCGTGAAGTGCTCCTTTAATAGCCTTTATCTTCTCACCAACATTTGTGCTCTATGATCTTCACACCCTCCCTCCCCTTCCTCATTCGAAATGCGACCCTGTTTCGAAACGAGTTCCCGTCACGTGGTTGTTCCCACAGATGTATCATCTGACGTGATCGGCACATCGGCTTTAGATCGAACGTTTCCTGATTTCACTCCTTTAATCATAAATTTCTCTACTTGGCCGAGCACGCGACCGAGGTATCATCCTTCTCCCACCACCCAGAAGAGGGTTTTCAACACACTACACGAAAAATCTTTTACCAGTAGGCATTCTTCATGACTTCTCTTGCCTGTTGCAGCAACTGCTCATCGGAAACACCCATTCTTCGTCCTGAAAACAAACTTTTGAAATTTTGTGCACTTGTGAAGGTCAACTTTACGTGGGCTCGGTTGATGTAGGATAATAATATGGTGAATAGAAGATACGTTAAGGCCCCGTTCATAGATCGCCGTTAATGCGATTTGGCGATTATTGACAGGAAGCATACGTATCGATCCAAATGTTGCCGATTACGCGATAAAGCGATCGACGATTTGGCGATTATGTTCAACGGACTAAGGGTGCACTGATTGAACTGACGCCGCCCAATAACCATTCCTAGATACGTATTCTCGACGATCCTCTGTGTGGGGGGGGGGGGGGGGGGGGGGGGGGGGGGGGGGGGGGGGGGGGGGGGGGGGGGGGGGGGGGGGGGGGGGGGGGGGGGGGGGGGGGGGGGGGGGGGGGGGGGGGGGGGGGCCTTTCTTCAACCATCAGGCTATAATGTTCAATCGTCAAACCAGCATTGTAGTTACAACAGCGATTAACGGGCGCCCTTCACCACACAGTACCCGCGTTCAAAAGTGGCTCGGCAAGAAATTAGAATGAAGATGGAAGGAACGGCCGCAATTCACCTATTTGAGTGACTCGTGTACCTCCTAAGAGGTGCGGACTGAAGCGCAATTGGCACCGAAGGAGTTGATCCTCGGCGACCTATTAAGGCTCAATCTTGGCGCGTGGGCCAGTGCACGCCCACCGATCATCTGATCACTCGCCGCAGGTCTATACGTGGCGAGTGATTAGATAGGTGAGAGAACGGGAACGTGTATACTCAGGGTCAACCGTCCGTTCGAACTGTTCGAACACAAGGGGTCGCATTTTGGTCGGAAGGGGGTCGCAATTTCGAGGACTGCCAGCCACAGGCGCGTGCGTGGCGTATCCGAGGGCAAGAATTGTTTGTGCAGACCGCATTAGATTCGATTAATTATGCACAGAGAGACAGTTTTAGGCAAATTACGGTGTTTTCCTTGAGGAATAAAGAACAGTTGAATGCATCCCTATGAAAGGTTTGACTTCTCGGGGCTGAAATTAAAGTTCTTCGGGACCTAATTTTCTGAGGACGATTCTTCCAGACAACGGTAAAACACATAAGAAAGCAGAAATCTCGTAGTCTTCAAAAATGTCTTCGCCCTCCCAACAAGCTTCTTTGAAGGAAGTTATTATTGCTGAAAGCTCAAAAACTCGCATGTGCTGCTCAAAAACCTATGGGAACAAAATGTTCGAACGTGTGATTTTCTCGGAAAATGGATTTTGAAAAACGGTTTGGTGCTTGTTAGAAAGAGCAAATCCTGTACTTTCACCCCATGAAAAAAGTGCATCACAGAAATGAAAATGAAGTGAGTTATGGTCGCTGAAAGCCCAAAAACTCGCTTTTGCACGGTTCGAACGGGACAATTTTTTGAAAAAGGGGACAATCACTAAACTTTTTATACTGTTTTGTTAGAGAAATATTTGAAGTTTCTGAAACTTTTTACAGATTTCCAAAATGTCGCATACGAAAGATTTTATGGGCCTTCAAAGTTGAAGGTGCGCCTTCTTAGAATTTTGGGTTTTCCACTTCTAACAGAAGTACTTTCCGGAGAGTTAGGCAATCCTTGTAGTTTTCTGAAAGCGCACCTCAGGCACAATCAAAATCTACCTCAACAAGTCAAAAAAGTACGTCCCAAGAAAGTTATTCCCCTCTAAAATTTTTTCTTCGCCGCGTCCCGTTCTTCCAGCGCCCGGGTGATACCTGCCGCGCTCCAAGGCTGACGCCGCAATGCAGACGCTGTTCTGCGGCGGCGGCGCAGACGCTTTCTGGCGCAACGGATTCATGTCTAGCACGCAACAGACTGCTATTAAGTAGGCTGGTCATACAATGATACAATGTGCACGTACCACTACAAATAGAATTTGTAAGTAGGGACGCTCTAGTGTCAGCGCAAGCTACGTAACGGAATCGACGACTTTTGCGTTCTGACGCGCCTTATCAGCCTTTATCAGTTGTAACCACTTTCCATCACCCACCAACAATGTCCCGTCCCACCCCACATAACACTTGTAAGTATGGACGCTCTAGTGTCAACGCGAGCTGGGTAACGGAATCGACGACTTTTGCGTTCTGACGCGCCTTATCAGCCCTTATCAGTTGTAACCACTTTCCATCACCCACCAACAATGTCCCCGTCCCACCCCACATGACACCTGCGAGTATGGACGCTCTAGTGTCAACGCGAGCTGCGTAACGGAATCGACGACTTTTGCGTTCTGACGCGCCTTATCAGCCCTTATCAGTTGTAACCACTTTCCATCACCCACCAACAATGTCCCCGTCCCACCCCACATAACACTTGTAAGTATGGTTGCTCTGGTGTCAACGCGAGCCAGGTAACGGAATCGACGACTTTTGCGTTCTGACGCGCCTTATCAGCCCTTATCAGTTGCTATCGCTTTCATTCATGTACCACCAATGTCCCGGGACCACCCCACATAACACTTGTAAGTATAGACGCTCTAGTACCAATATGAACGACAAAACGAAATTGGCGATGCTCGCTTTCTAGCCCCTCTTATCAGCTATTATCAGTCGTTATCAGTTCCTATCACCACTTGTGTCCCCGTCCCACCCCACATAACACCTGTAAGCATGGTTGCTCTGGTGTCAACGCGAGCTGGGTAACGGAATCGACGACTTCAGCACAGACTATACACCACACGACCAGACATAGTACGCGATAATTCCCGTTTGAATAACTTTATGTGCACTTGTACTTCAGACCAAAACGAATTGGCATCAATAGCAAAGGTACACCAAACACCACTTGGACTCTAAGTCGAGCACAAACACCATAACTCCTTTTTCGTGTTTCTTTCTCTCTTTTCCGGGATCGAATCTTGGGTCATGCGTCGTCCGGGCCAACCAAGCCTTCCATCCCTCCGGGGTCGGTTTGGTACCAGACTTGTCTGGGAGGATAAAAACACTGACTTGTACATCGGCTGGCCCCCGCAAGTCATTGTATAGGCCACATCGCATTCAAACGCCACTACGAATGTATAGGAGGCTGCCCGCATCCCAGAAAGGGATTGATCAACGTCTAATGCTTTCTCCTTTCTATCCCTCAAGACGATTCAAAACGTCATGGGTGCATAT